TAAACGAACATCAGTTCGCGGTATTTGTCGAAGTTCAACTAGTCCCACCGCTGATCGCCGATCCTCTGCTGGAAGCACCGCAGGTGCCGTTGGCAATGTGAGAAGAACCACCACTTCTACGACCACACCTACAGCATCCACACACCGGTCACGTCCTTCGATATCTGCGTCATCTAATACCTCAACTGCTGGGCGCCCTTCGGCTGCTTCCACAACCCGGGACAACGCTATGTCACCTAGACCGCCGTCTGCCACCGGACGACCTATCTCTGCGACTGCGAGAGGAGCCACTGGAATCTCCAACCTCCCCCCCCGGCCCAGCACTTCGACTTTACGTGCGAGAACCGCGGGACCCAATGGACCTGCTAGTGCATCGAGCACTACTTCGAAAGAGTTGGAAGCGTTGAAAGTCAAGGTGTCTGATTTAGAGGAAAAGAACAAAGAGCTTTTAGAGCAGCTTTCCAGGGCAAGCGGTCACCCTACCACCAATGGAGATGCTAAGATAGCTACTGGAGAGCTGGAGTCCGAACTGGCAATTCTCAAAGAAAGGATCACTGCCATTCAAGAAAAGGTAAGGTATCATCACATGCGTTAGATTATAGTGTATCTGGGGCTTATAGATTATGTACAGAACGAGAAGCTACAGGCCCAATGTAAGGATGCTGAGGCGGAGTGTGCAAATTTTGCGGCTCTGGTTGAGGGATCTGCGGCAACGATGAAGGATGCGAACGATAAGCTGATCGCTAGGCATGCAGAAGAGCTCAAGGCTCTTGAAGGTGGCTTTGATGAAAAAGAAAAGGGCCTTCTCGCACAGATTAATACTCTGAAGACTTCTCTTGAATCTCTAGAAACACGCCATGCTGAGGAGGTATCCAATAGCACTTCCTTGGCTAAAAAGGTATTTCTGTCCTCGACACGACGATGTGACCCGAAACTAATTCCATCAAAGGCTGCGGCGGAAACTGATGATCTTCAAAAGGCCATTGAAGCTCAAGAGGCGGCGCATAACAAGGCGGTTGAAGCTCTCAATGCTGCTCTTGCAGCTGAGAAGGAAGCCAACAGCCAGAGTTCAATTGATGCGGAAGGCCTTGTTGGGAGGCTTAGCGAAGAGATCGCCGCGTTAAAGAAACAGATTGAGGACGTACATGAAGTTTCTAAGCGTGTCACCGAAAAGAATATGGAGGCGCTTGAGTCTCGCCAGAAGGAAATTGATGGGCTTGGTAATGTTGTCAAGCTTCTACAAGACGAGCTGGAAAAGGTGGCATTTGAAAACAAGGCTAAGGGACTAAAGGATATTCAAGAACTCCAAGAGAAACATGCAGCGGAATTAGCAGAGGCAGTTGATGCTGAGAAGGCAGCGGCCGAGGAATCCAAGGCCAAACTCGAGAAGCTTACTCAGGAGCACCGAGAGCAGTTGGAGAAGAGTTCCGAGGCTTTATCTACCCAGCTTCAAGAAGCTAAATCTTCGGCTAAGGTATTGGAGGAGGACTTGCTAGTGAAGATTGAGGCCACTAAGTTGGAGGGTGCTGAAGCTCTGGAGGCTGCTCAGAAAAAGGCGGCTGTGGAAGTTGGAGCTGTCAAACGGGAGAGTGAAGCTCAGCAGAAGCAGTTTGAATTAGCTATTGAAGCCCTTAAAAAAGAAGCTTCTGGCAGCGTTGAGAGCAAGGACAAAGAATGGGAAAGCAAGATCGACCAGTTGACAAAGTCAAGCCAGGAACAAGTCAGCAATTTGACAGCTCAGTTGGATGCTACAAGAGAGGAGACTCGGGAAATATTACGGAAATTGGAACAGGTTACGCAGCATTCTGAAAGCGAGATCAAGTCGGTACAAGAGCAAGGGAAGGAAGAAGTCACCGCCCTACGGAGCGCTTTGGAGACCTTGAATAAGCAACTGACGGTTTGTTTCATATTTGCACACATCAGTTGTGTTTTTGCTCATGAGATTTATTGCAGGACAAGGAAGATCAGCTGGCGAAATTCAAAGTGGATCTCGAAAAGGCAGTTAAGGATATGGCCGATAGCGCTGAGGTCAGTAGCAACTTTTCTGCGCAGGAGTCGAGTCGCTAACATTTGTATAGGCGGCTTCTAAACTTGAGGAATCCCATAAGATTGCCCTTGACTTCCAGCACGCCGAACATGTTACCGAAATGGAGAAAATGAAGGCCGAACTAGCTTCCAGCAACGAGGGAAAGTACACTCTGCTTTCTGAAAAGTACGAAGCACTTGTTACCGAACTAGGTTCAACCAAGGAGGCCCATGCCGCCGAGATATTTCGTATGGCTGGGGAACTTAAGAAAGCAGAAGGCATGTCAGAGTTATTGCAGAGTCACAGTTCTACCATCTCTTCGCTTGAGGGCCAACTTGCAACTGAGAAAGCCTCCCGAGTGATGTTACAAGCTACCCTGGATGCGGCCCCTGACAAATCTGCTTTCGACACCCTTTCAGAGCAACTTGAGATGACGAAGGCAGAACTTGACAAGGTTACGGTATCCAAGGATGCCGAGATCAAGAAGTTGCAGGAATCGTTGCAGGGAGCAGAGGAGTCTAAATTTGGGCTCGAGTCCGAGGTTGCAAAGGAGAAGACTTCAAATCAGGAGCTTCTCGAGAAGATTTCAGCCCTCGAAATGGAGGTCTCAGGGGCCAAGAAGGAGGTGGTCGAAAAAATTGCCGCCGTTGAGAAATCAACAGCCGAAGAAGTCAGGGATCTCCGTGCGTCGATGGAAGCTGATTATAAGTCGATGGAGCTGATTTACCAGACGGAGGTCGATGAGCTGAAGCATGAAACTAAGGGCCTGAAGGACAGGCTTGGGGCTGGCGAGTCCGGGATGCAAGGCAAGGATGGAGTCATTGAAAAACTTGAATCCGAAAAGAAGGAAGCTGAGGCTACTTTGGCTACTCTTGAGAAGGAGAAGGAAGTTTTGGAGAAGGAAAAGAAGGCCCTGGAGGAAGAGAAAGCGGCCCTAGAGGGTGGGAATGGGTCCCTTAGCAGGGAGATGGAAATTCTTAAGGAGGAGAAGGAAGCCTCTATGGCTTCTGTCACCGCTGAGCTGGAATCTTTGAAAGGGGAGCTCAATATCCTGATGGAGGAGAAGAAGATTGCTCTTCAGGCTGTGGAGGCAAAAGAAACTGACCTCGAGAAAACTAACCAATTGGTCTCCTCGTTGGAAGCTGATAGCACAGAAAAATCTAATAGTTTAGAAACGATTACCAAAGAGAAATCTGACCTCGAAGCCGAGGTGAAGCAACTCAAGGCACAGGCCAAGGGGTTTGAGGAGCTTGTCAAACTTAAGGAATCTGCGATTGAAACGGCCGCCAAGGACTCGGAGGGAATAGAATCGAGTTTGAAAGAGCAATTGGGCGCTGCTGAAGCCCTCGTTAAAGAGAAGGAAGCAGCACTCACAAATTCCCAGAGGGAATCGGCAGCCAAAATGAAAGTACTCGAGGCAGAGCTTGCTGAACTGAAGCTACGAATCAAACACCAGGTGAGCACAGAAGACAGGCCCCCTCGCGGGGAACAAACCGGGGAGACTTCAGAAGTTAAGAAAGCATGTATTACAGGAATTGTCAGCCACCCAATCTCCTTCTACTAATGTGAGTCACTGCTAAGGAAACTATGTTTCCTCTCACAACTGTATTAGTGAACACGCGAGGCTAAGAATTGTGATATTAAAGGTAGCCGCACTCAAGGCGCAACTTGGCCAGCTGCAAGCCGATAACGAGGAAATTACACGGGAGAATACTAGGTGTGTATACCATTCGAGACCCCATGCGTTGTGCCTTTTTTGTGAATCTTTTGCGTATTGATCTGCGGGTACGTTTGGCTTTTTTATGGTGTTCTTTGGTCAGGCTAATTTCTCATGTGATCCTTCGCCAAATATTAGGATGTTGAAAATGATTGATAGCCTGCCACTCGGGTCGACTCCTGATCAGGGTTGACCTGGCTTGCCTTCCTCCATCCTTTCGTATTCCTGCCCTGTGCCTCGGGCATGAAGGGAGACACGATAGCTCTGAAAAATTTCCTGCCCTCGGTTCTTCTCTTCTTCCTTTTCTCCTTAGGGAGCGATGCATCGGATTTAACTTTTTCCTTTATTACTTTTTTTGTAGTGTTTACTTACATTTCTCAACCAAACTAGCAAGCCGGCTGGATGGTGGATGGATGAATGGATTGATGTACTGCCTATGGGGAGGTTTATTATTCTTAGGGGTTTAATTGGCTTTTATACCATACCATTTTTCAATTTTTCCTCTAGGTTGGGGGAATTGTGTAATTATGATGCCAAGGCGAAGCGGGGGGGGATGCTTTCCTTTTTTCTTCCGCGTTGTACTCCCTAAGTGGTCTAGTCATTCATGAAGTAGTAGTTCCAGTCATATTGTGATAATGAAGTTGTTCTTTTTTTCCATTGTTTATTCCATCAAGTGATTATAGCATAAACTTAATTTTGTTGATCGATTTTTAATAGATGAAATGGTGGTGGGAATAATAGGTGCGAAATTTCTTGTCATACATCCGCCTGGTTAGCTCAGTGGTAGAGCGTGTGGCTTTTACGGCGAGTAAAATTCTGTGAAGAACACCTCAATGTCGCGGGTTCGACCCCCGCATCAGGCTGGCTTTTTTTGTCACTTATTAGGTCGTTTATAGTGAGCGACTGCAGGCATAACATCTAGAAATTTCGTTTTTGGCTTGTCTCATGGTTCGATGGGCTATATAGTGTGTAAATACAAACGCAAATACAAAAATAAATTATGAAAAAATAGTAATGTTCGAACGAGAGCTAAGTGTGACACCACCACCGCCGTATCATTATACCATGTACTGATTTATATATACAAATCCCGCCGCCGCCAGGGTGGCCTCACACCACACAACACAAGAGTCAGTCGAAAACAACCTTCCTACCCCCACCACCCCTCAGCGCCTCTTGAACAACCGCCATCTTACCCTCCCGAGCTTTCCTCGCTGCTTCCCACGATGGGTGAAGTTTGCCTTCCGTTTGCCCCTCCTTCTTCCTCTTCTCTCCCCCCCCCCTCCTATCTTCTTTGCGCTGCGTTCCTTCCTTCAAGTGCGCAGCGTTCTGTCCGTACTTTTTCGCCCACAGGGCGCGGCGGGCTTGCTGGCCCATGCGGTTTTTCCTCTGTTTCTTCTCGGGGGGGCCTTTATTGCGTTTGGGTGGGGCGGTGCTAGAGGTGGAGGCGGAGGAATCGGAGATGTAACCGGCTATGAAGGTGGGGAGGAAGGTACTTACCCCCGGTTTTTGTTTTGGCATTGGTTTGGGCTTCGGGGGCGAAAAAGCTGACCAGTCGCTGGAGGATACGGGGCTCACCGCCCCCCAGACATCTTGTCGGTCTTCCCCCTCCCCTGAATCGCTGTCGTTACCGTCACTATTGGAGGCAGAAGTCGACATACTAGCAGATTTAGCCTCCTCCTCCTCCCCCTTCTTATTCCTCTCCAACCTCTCCTCGATCTTCCTCTTCCCTTCCTCCTCCCCATCACCACCACCTCGTGCCATCTCCTCCCTCTCATCAACACCCAAAATCCGCCTGACACCCCCCAACACATCACCCATAACCTCCCTAACAACTCTAGCCCCACACAACCTAGCGCATACATCATGTTCCACCTTCCCCATTCCCCGCCCCTCTCCATCCTCCCCCTCCCCTACGCTCCAAACCCTCCAATCAAAAACCCCGCTCCGAACACATCTCCCATCCCTCCCCAGGCACCGACGCAAATGTGCCCGTGCGAGCAAGTCCAGATTCACCTTCTTCAGCGCTTCCAATTCCCCCTCCAACCTTGTCGTTGGCCCGGTAGCTTGTGCCGCAGCGCCAGCGGCGGGGCCGCGGGAGGACTTTATCCGCCGGATCAACTTGACAGTCTCGAAGCCACGAGCTTTCTTCAGTACGCGGAAGATGCGCCTGTGGTAAGTTGGGAGGGCGGAGGTTAGTGATTTGGCAACCTGGGCGTGAGTGCGCGCTGGGAGGGTGGTGGTGGTGGAGGGGTGGGTTAGGCGTGGGGATTTGGCGGGTGGATTGGTGAATTGATTCTTTCGCTTCGGCATTTTTACTCTCCGGCTAGTGAATAATGTTTTCTTTCTTTTTTTTTTTTTTCAGTGGTAGATCGGGATGGATTGGAAGTTCTTTAGTTCTATGATATCTTGCCATTTCATAAGTTGGTGTTTGACCCGTTGGTGCGGTGGAGGGGCTTGGCAGCCGGGTAATCTTTAGCAGCCAGAGTGAGGGAGGAAGGATTAGGATAGACTCCGATAGAGGGATAAAGTTAGTCTACTGTCAGCAAGGCAGCAAATTTGAGAGCTGTCAACCTAAAATTCTCTCTCGCTCCCAAGCCAAATCAGACCCGGCACGAAGCTGGTAACAAAAATCACCTGTACTGACGAGTAGAAGTGCCTTTTACACCCAAAGTAGCCATGTTGACAACACTATAACGCCACCTCTATTCCATCAATAAAAAAAAAAGACTCGCATATCCAAGGAAAATCCTTGGGCTTTCTCTTCCAGGTTGTCAGTCACAAATAAACATCTCGTTTTCCGAGACGCCTTATCGACCAAAAGAGCAAAAGTGACATTAAGTCTTGGCGCTTTTTTCGTATGGGAAAACCGAGGCGGCTACTTTCCAACTTCATCTTAGCCATGCCTAACTACCGGTAAGCCTGTGTGTATGAAAAGTCGGTGTGGTTCTAAAGCCCGTACTAGAATTTCTTGTATATCATACTTTGGGTATCCTAGGGAGGAATTTCAATTATCGTGCTTGAAGTCGATTGCTTTTGGTGTGGTGATGTACAGTACGCTTACAACTAGCCGGTGATTTAAGTTATGGTACAGTACAAGCTTCGTACACTATCATACCGGTACTCTACCACCATCCAACAAAGCCCAAACAACTCCCCTTAGCACCCAGACCCAATTAAAAAAATTAAAAAATAATAATAGAAAAACAAAGTATGATAGCACTAGATTCTCCTCACTATATCCACTCCTCTCCTCTTTCTGTTTTCCCAACCCCCCCCCCGCCCCACTGAACCCCAGGCCACGGATCCAGAAAAGGATTCTTCCCCAACCCCGCCGTGTCAATTTCACCTAGCATCATACATACCTGTACTGTACTGTGCACATCGGAGGAGGGGGGGTCTCAGGATCAGAGGGCCTCGAGTGAGGGGTTATGATTGATAGGATATTGTGTGCTTATTTCGTGGAATCGTATGTATGATATTATGGTTTACTGTGGAGAGGCAAATATTATACTATACTCCAATACATCTTTATCGAAGCGAGCCATCCAGGTCGGAGGCTCGGACCGTGCTGTATCCTGTCCGCTTTCACAGTGGATACTAAAGAACCCCGCTCCCTACCCCGTCGACAACTAGATGCAATCAACCCAAGGCTGGCATCATGGAAAGCACTATCGTTGTCTATCAAGCAGGTAACACGGTGGTCTTCGATAGAGTGCTATGGACTAAGCTAGGGTAAAAGTATGATAAAAGCCCCAAAGTTTTGATGGAAGGGGGGGGAAGGAACGAAAAAGAGAAAAAGAAGACAGGAATAACAGAGTACGATAAGAGAGATAATCATACGCTAAAAGAACCACTCAAATCCCCCTTCTCTCTTCCTCCCTGCCGAAATGATGTCTCACTCACTCGCGCTGTCTTCAGAATTCATTCCCAAACCACCACACCATAAGCTGCTACTAAACTACGACGGCAACAATGACGGCGGCAACCGCTACTTCCAGCTACAACAACGTACAAACCCCAACCACACATTGAAGAAAAAAACAGAACCGAAAAACAAACCAACTACCAGAGAACCTTTTTTCCTTTTCCCAAACCTCGTTCCTCCCCCTCCTCCAAAGATCCCATGAAAAGGTTAAGAAAGAAATCATTAGAAGAAAGGAAAAAAAGGAAAAGGAAAAGAGAAAGCTATTTTATCTAGTCTGTAGATTGATGTTGCGATCCTCCATCTCCACCCTCGGGGTTCCTTCCACGCTTGGCTCCACCGGGTCCACCTCTATACGGACCACGACTGTAGCCTCTTGCGCCACGGCCCCGGTGCCCACCACCACGCCTGTACCCGCCACCCATGTTGTTATCACTCTCGCTGGTGTTGCCGCCGCCGACGCCTGCTCCGCGGCCCCATTTGCTGTCGGACATGCCGGGTCTCGGGTTGCTATTGAACGGGTTATACTCGTCCATCATCAATTTGACCCACGGTTTGTTCTCGTTCTGAGAACGCCTTATTTTCAAGTCTTCTGGTAGTTGGTCCAGCGTTTCTTTGGCAATTTCGGCGCTCTCAAAGTACGCAAGGAAGTAGGTCGAATCAGGTCGACTCTTGGGGTGTTTTGTTTCTATGTGTTGAATCATACTCTGGACTTCCAAGGAGAATAGGGCTCGGACTGCGTCTGCGTTATTGACGCCGGTTATGTAAAATCCATACTGTTTTAGGCGGTCCTGTGGGGAGCTAGCCTCTCGATGTTGAGGTCCGGTTGGAGCTATGACCGGAGCTGTGGCCGGAGCCGTGGCAGGAGTATCAATCTTGGGTACAACGGGAGGAGCTGGAGATTCGGTACGCGTACCGTTACTAGTAGATGGCTTCTCCGCTGCTGGTGTCGGCAAAGGCGTAGCGACCGGGGTGGCAGCTCTGTTTGCAGGACCACTTGGTACTGGACGGGGTGTCGCCGGCTTCGGGGCGACTGGTGGTTCGACCTGAGCAGGAGGCGGGGTAGGCTGCTTCGGTCCAGTTGGGGTGGTAGCAGGCCTTGGTTGAGGGGGAGTGGGCTTTGGCTGCTGTTGACTCCTTGGTCCTGACGGAAGGAAGGGAACTGCGGGGCCATTTTGTGGAGTGGAGTTGCTAGTTCCCGAGGGTCCAGATGGTACATTAACATTAACAGTTCCAGCATTCGAAGTTGGTGCCGACGCAGCAGTTGATGCAGTAGGCGCAACCGACGATTGTTGCTGTTGCTGTTGCTGCTGAGCCGCAGAAGCTCCTTTCCCACCCCTATGGGCAAAATTGAACCCTTGCGCTCTCATCTCCGTCGCGATGCGGCCACCCTCAACCTCTAGAACAAGCCAGCCAAATGCAGCGTCTGCCAAGTTGAAATTCCACATATTCTTGAAGGCAGATTCATCGACTTGCCCAGCTCCAGGAGCAGTGTTTGATGCCGGACCACCAAACGGGTTGCCGCCGTTGGCGCTCGTGGGCATCTTCTCTACGATATCCAAGGCATTATTCAAGAGTGCGTGCTGAGCTTCGTTTTGCTGAACGGCGGGCAGGACCTCACCCTTGACGGTTTCCCAAACATCATTGAAAGATGCTTTCGACGAGGCTAGCTTGCCCCTATAATGATCCAGAGTTGGGTTTACACTGAACTCGTTGTATGAGCTCCCATACCGGAAATGTAATCCAGCGGATATCGAGAAATCCGCCTTCAGAGTAACCGACAATTGATTCAGCAAACCCTCCCTTGCTGGTGAAGCGTGGGTAACAAAAATCCGGGTTTCCGCAGGGTCAAATACCCGGTTTGCTGTGTCAACAAGCTCGCCCATTTGCAAAAGCGTAGTCCACATGGTCCCTTGTCCTCCAGGGATCGTTGTCCTTCCCTCGCCATTATCAAACAACTTATGCATGACAACAGCTCCTCCAAGACCTAACAACCTAAGCTTAACACCACCGGCATCTAGCAGCCGTGAATTCGCCTCATCGACGATGTGGAGATTGTTGACCTTGTATTCGCCTGAGCGGAATTTCTCAAGAACGCGGACATCTTCGCACGCTCCCCACACGGTGTATACAGGCACGTCCAGGGTGTATTTCTTGTTGAGAAACAGGGGAAGCTCAGACAACGGGTGTTCGACCTGAGCAAAGAGCTGCTTTATAGAATGGCTATTAGGACCAGGTGTCTGGATACGCTTTTTGAGGCCATCTTCAAGCAGGGGGGAGTATTGTGCGACATGTCGCAGAGTCCTTTGAAGAGAAAAAGTCAGCCAACACTCATGCTGCATCGGGGTTGAAAGTCCCACTTGTCGGCAATTCTCTCTAGAGAGCTATCATCGTAGAAGCCAAAGTCACCAGTGTGAAGGACGTGATCCGCGTTTGCCTTCTTGGCCAATTCGTTTAAAGATTTAAGGTTTCCTACGAAAAGGTAGACAACAATTTAGTGGCAATCCCCCAGATATATCATAGCCGAGCAACTTGATATGGCCAAAATCCACGTGAGGGGGGAGGACGGAATTTATACCTCTGACATCGGCAATGCACAAAATTCGCACACCTGCCTTCTCGATTACCTTTTGGGGAGGAAGTTGGACAGGCTGAGGAGGCATTCCAGGCGCAGAGCCATTTGGGACATACTGTTGGTGATGTGCGCCGAATTGAGGAGGGCGGGGTTGCGAAGGTACCTATGACATTGTTAGAAGGGGAAAATGTTGGTGTCGAAGCTACCTGAAGCAGAACGAGACAATAGAGCCTAGAAATAGCGGAGGAGACCCGGACTGGAGGACGATCTGCGAGGGTTCATGGATGTAACTTACGGAAGCCATCGGATGTTTGGGAGCAACGTTGACGAAACTTTAATGCGTTGATGGATGTAGGAAGGGGGGGGGTTTTAGGTATTCGAGTGATGGAAGAGACGGGAGAGGAGATGAGAGATGCCTCAAGAGCAGGAGGAATAAGGGTTGATGAAAGATGGAGTAGCAGTGTGTTGGGTGAAGGTAGAGGTTAGGTCAACACAAGGAAAGGAGAGGAAAGGAGAGGAAAGGTGGTGGTGGTGGTGGTGGTGATGGTGATGAGAAAATTGGTGAGTTGTGGGTTGAGTGGAATGAGGATGCAAACAGCGGGAACGGTGATGTGGTGGTGGAGTCAGGTGGAGCGAAGGATGAATAGTTATGAGCAGCAGTGCGGCGCGGTGAGAGGTGAGGAGAGAGCAAAGCGGGCGAGACAAGGCGCTGTGAGAAGGGTTGAGTGGAAGGTGATGAAGTGGAAGGTGATCGAGTGGAGGGGGGAGAGAGAGAGAGGCTGTTGGCGGTGGATGAGATTTTGCTAGAGTCGGTTGTTGCAGAAGCCAGTCTAATTGACACTGCCGACACCACCACAGCAAATGGTAGCACTAACAGCAGCAACGAAAGTCAGAAAGGCCCAACCGATCGCACGGAGAAAATACAGTATGAAAGGTAGGAGGAGAGAGAAAAAATAGAAAAAGAATGAGAGATCGAGAGAAGGCTACAAACGAAACAGGGAAAACGGTATCTTGTGAAACAAAATTGCTATAAATCAAAGGGATAAGATACCAAGGGGTTCGTTGACTGACAAGCTTGGAACTGGGTGAAGGAAAGAAAACATTGCAGTATCATAGATTAACTTACCTCACAACCGCTTTTTCCTTCCCGGAATAGCTGCGAATTTAAGTTAGGCTACCCGCCCGCTATGATACTCGTGGGCGGCACCAGTACGAGAACTGTTCTCCAATCCATAAAATTCGTCTTTTTCCCATCCCCTCACATCCATAAATAAATAAGTTACGGGGCAAAGCCATACTCGAGTACGAGTATGATACTGTACAAGTATCCGTGGGCTAACTTACCACGCATTTGTTCGCACTACAGATTTCAGGCCTCCCCTCCACTTCCTTCCCCCTCCTTTCCTTCCCATGTTATATTTACAAGTACTACTAGTACATGCATAGCACGGTGAAGCTCTATGCTCGAGTACGGCAGTTCTCGTGCCCTGCATTAAATATTTCGGAACCCGCTCTTTACATGGGGGCACCACACACCCACACAATTGGTCACACGTTACTTTGCTCGCATTTTTATTTCATAAGTGATTCATGTGTCAAGCCTTCTGTGCTGGTGCTCGAGTACAGTACCGGTATGAGGTAGCCCTCTCGCTTCAAACCCCGGTCAGCATTCAATTAAACGAGAGCTGTTGCCTCGGCCCACAGATTACTCAACCTAGTGTACCTTTGGGACCTTGACCACATTGCTCTTTATACTTCAATATAATTTATTTATACGCATCTTGCTAGGAAATGACCCAAGTGAGTGATGAAAAAATGCATTCAAAATGAGTTTCAATTATTGAAGCAAACATTAGAGATATAGCTTATGTCTGTATGGGTCGACGTACTTGAGTACTTGCACTGGTAGTTCAATTTGATATTATGCAGCATTAAGTCGTAACTACTGTACTTAGGCAAAAGTACGAGTAGCCCGTGAGCCCTCATAGCCGGGGAAAGTAGGGAAAAGAAAGAAAGAAAAAGAAAAACACATAAAAGCACTTGCAGCCGCACTAGGTACTCGAGTATACCTTTCCCACCCAATACTCGAGTACTCGAGCGCTGTGATTTATCACTTAAGATGTTGCATGTTTCCCAAGAGCAACGATATCAGCTTGCGTGAGGTGCCAAACCGTCTTTCCGCCTTCCTGCTTCCCCTTGCCTTCCCAAACACCTTCCTCCAGGGCGGCCCTGACAGCAGCCCTCCCAATAATATCTGCATCCTGAGCCCACCCATCCTTCAACTTTCCACCCGAGATAGCACCAAGGAGATTGGCCACACCATGGAGCGGGTACTCCAACAACCTAGTCTTCTCCCGTGAGCCGACAATTAACCCTGGCCTTAGGATTACCGTCCTTTCAAACCCTATCTCGATAACCGCATCTTCCAACTCTCCCTTCATCTTCATGTAAGGGAACCGAGATGTTGAGTCTGCGCCAGTGGAGGAGATCAAAACGTATGTTTTTGCGCCGGCTGCTTTGGCTGCCTTTGCTAGATCAAGATTAAGGTCAAAGTCGATTTTACGCTGAGACTCGAAAGAGCCGGCATCCTTGCGGGTAGTTCCAAGGCCAGAGACAAACACGGTAGTGGGGATAGAACCAAGAGTTGCAGCCCATGTCGTGATGTCACTCGAGATGAGAGGTTTAAGCTTTGATTCGGGGTCGGTAATTAGGTGAGGATAAGGACGGCGCATTAAGGAATACACGTGGGAAGTCTGCGGGCTCGAGAGAAAGTACTGGAGCGCGAAGGAGCCCTTCTCACACGAACGTTAGTCTCTGGGAGACATGGCGGTAAAGACAAGAATAAGAGCCCCTCATGGAGATAGGTAACGAAAGGATGAATGAACGAATGTATGTACTCACCACCAGGCCCGTGCTCCCAGCTATTGAGACAGACTTTGCGGAACTCATGTTGTGATCTGTTTACGTATCGGCAAGATCTGGAGCAACTGTGCTGATGCGGATGCAGGGCAAATTCCGCCGGATTCGCGGGACGCTTTGCCTTGACAGAAGATGGCCGCTAAGTACGAGTATTTGTGAAAAGGAGGACTCGAGCAGAGAGAAACGATCGGTCCGGGCGTTTCCGTACCAACAAAGGAAGAATCGAACTCAGGAAGGACCCGAACGAGAGGAATAAGAGGGGGGGGAGGCGTCTGGGAGCGGGAAAGCGAAGAATTTCTAGCGGCAACCAGCGTGGGACCACTGGTATGAGAAGTACGGTATCATACTTCGGAAGAACCTCACTCCTGTGCTCTCTGCAGTGGCTATCACTCACGCGCTCGTGTTTTTCTTTTTAAGTCCGTAGATTTTTTTAAATACAGGGAAACCCATGGCAAGCACCCTAATCTTCGTTTTCTTACAATTAATGTGTAGATGATCAGCTACTTTATCATCTCTAATAGAGCTATAATTCTCGTAGGAGTGGCTGTTGATAATCCTTTGGAAATTGAAACTGAACTATCTCCTTGGCAAAGCATGATAGTCTATCCATACTCCGGCTACAGACAGTGTGAACCCTCAGCGAGGCGCGGCATGGCTTGGCCTGCCACCGCACCATGTACTAGTACTCGTAGTTAAAATCAAGGAGCTTTGCAGCCAGTTCTCGCTGCGCCTCGCTGAGGGTTCACACGGTCCATCCCTCACCATACTCAGGTACGGGAACTGTACGGTAGGTAGTCTATGAGAATCGAGGCTGTGAGGGCCAAGTCCCGTCTGCGGTAGCCCCGAAATACTGTACTCGAGTACTGGTACATGGCAGAAAGCTTTACGAAGAGAATAGGGTAACCGGTATGGGTTGCCATAATAACTTTTATTGAGCCTCCTGCCGCGTCAGTATGGAGTGAATACTCGTGCGGAAATCTATTCGAGTAGTCGCAGACTATCAGATTCAACTGAGGCCGCGCGAATACCACAGCATACCCCGCTTAGCTCTCGCTTACAATACCGATGCATTGAGTGATAACATGAATTGAGATGGGAGGAGGTGTGCCATAAGGTAGTCTACCTTAGGGTAGTCTACTGGTACAATACAGGTACTCGCAGACTATGTTTGAGTGCTCCGCTCCTTGTTATGATCTTCCGGCAATCGAGTGGCGTTCGTCATGCATGGAGATCTTGCTCAGGAGCTATCCCGGGGGTAAGTTATCATACCAGTATGATACCCGTTTAACAGGATGATGTTTGCGAGTGAGACCCCTCAATCTCTGAATTCTTGTTACCATAATTTAAGACTTCAAGTCATGCCCAAGAGGCTCGAGACTGACGACGACTTTACTAATATAAGAGTGGCGTAGTTCACTGATGTGGCTCAGTAAAAGAAAAAACATCCTGCCGGTATGATGCTGGCACGTCATCCGAGGGCCAAACCCTCACGTTAACCTTTTTGCTTGCAAACCCCCGAAACCCTTGGTTTCTCCTCCTTGTTCAAGGGCCGGGGACAGCATTTATTTGACCCCTCTTCCCTCCCTCCCTCCTCCATCGTCTTCTTTGGCCACCAACTCGCCCTCAGGATCATTCGGCGTGGGATCCCTTACCGTGCGAATATAAAAGGTGAGATACCTAACCTCTACCGCTTTTTCAGCATGAGAACTTCTAAAATCCCCAATGATGATATCGCATCCATCGGAGCGGCCTGAGAAACCGTTTTCCGTGTCAAATATGTTACAACCCCATCTGTATTCACCTTGATGAGGTATCCTTTGCTGTTAGATTCTGAGCCACACTCACTCACTACAATTTTGTTTTCGCTATCATTTCCTTAACCTGCTTTACGGCTAACAAAATTTGCTATAATGACCAAGTCCGACAAAGCCCATCACTCACGGAACAGCGCAGTGTATACAGCGGCATCTTAGCGTAAAGCGAGACAAGAACCCTTTTTCAAAGAAAATAACAAGTTCGAACATTTAATCTTTATTCTCATTCGTCTTCGTCGTCCCAGTTGGACACCATGTGCTCCTCTTCCGCTCGGCAATTGGTAGACACGAATAAAGAAAAGTCACCCCTCACTGGCGGTGGTGTCTTGGGCGGTGGTGTCTTGGGCGGTGGTGGTTTGGGGAAACCCCCAGGGCAGAAATGTTTCGATTGTGATGGTATCTCCTGTTGCTGGTACGCCTTTTTTTACCCCCGGGACCAGGACGCAAACATGCTGCTAACTGTTGTGGGAATCCACATAGCATTCCTTGTATCATCACCTGAGAGGGCCGGGCGCTTGTGATGGAGAAGGGAATCCAGGTTCTTTTTTCATGATTATGTTTACTTTTTTCTTTCCCTTCCTTTCACGCTACATCCGAGTTCGGATGCCTTTGCCGTGGGGTTCGCAGGCGCTGCCGGTACTGGGGTTGGACTGAATTGGGTGGAACTCAATTTGGGTTGCGGGTTTTTATAATGTATGGATTGGGATTGAAGCTTGCTCTCTTTTGAGCTATAATAACGATACTATGATGAACCATGGGGTCGAGTTGTACAAGTACCCGAGTATATCGTGAACTGTGATGAGCGGTATTTCCGTGTTTGTATGGACTCTCTCGCACCAGATCAGGAGTTCCATCAGGACGACGAACGGCTGGGCGCGTCGGTCATCCATCCGACTAATAGCTCGACTTAAATTTATCGTTGGGTTCCGGGACATAATAATTGTTCCTGTCAGGGCCATCACCGAAACAACTTGTCCGGCACCGGTAATCTGACAGGAAGAGAAAAAAGAAAAGAAAGGAAAAGAAAAATGATGATCACGAGACCATGGGAGAGAAGGCACTGGTGCTCGAGTACTCATCGATAACTAAATTATCGGATGGAGACCGTTGATTCGCTCAGGGCAGGAATTTCTCGATGGATATTTTCCCTCTTCTTTTTCTTCTTTCTCTCTCCTGCCAAGGGGATTGAGGTCTTGCCCAATCCTGCAGCAGCACGTCATCAGACGGTCATCAACGAGCCAGCATCTCGACTTTTTTTTTCTGCCTGAATTGCCGGTACTTGTAAGTTTGGGTAGGGGATTCAAGGGAAGAAGAGCAAGTATTATTATTATTGTTGTTGTCGTTATTCAGTGTTATAGAATTGGATGTATTAGTCCGTTTAGTATGGGAGAATATGGAGGAAATGGAGGAGGAGGAAGAAAAGGGAGGGAAGAAGAAAGGCTTTTCCTCTGTCCTTCTACCGGTTCTTTTACCTCACTGGAATTCCTATTGTGCTTTCACCGTTTAATTGTTGGTCGACAGAGTCAGGAGTCCTGTAAGGCAGAAAGAGAAAAGCAATAGAAACAACGGGAAAGGAGCGTGAGGTTTGACCGTTCAGCCTTCAGCCTCTCTCTCCCTCTCCATCGTCTTCGTCCTCTGACTCTCATTTTCTCACTCTCTCTTTGTTTCTTTCCCTCCCCCTCACCCCTCCCCCACATTTCACTCAGGGCCTGCCTCTTGCTCGCTCGGCTGCTGCCTCATCTCGAGTCTCTCCGTTGCCCTTGCTTCGGTTCTCGTCATCTACCACCCCCCATCTTTCTCTTCAACCAACTTTTCCTTCTATCCTCCTTCCACCTGCAGACTTCCACTCAAACCCTATTGTCACCCTCCTTCTGCCCTAGTTTGCACATCATCTTTTCAGGTTCGCTCATTACAGGATCGAATAGTATTACCTCGTACGTAACCCGCTTAGTCGGTCATCCTGGCTTCAAGATATCCTAAATTTCACCCGACTCGTGACATAATTGCTGAAGGTTACCAACCATTATTTTTACTGTTGCACACCCTAACAACCCTCTCCAAAGATGAAGCATCTCCTGATGCTTCACATACCCCGGTTACTACTACCCTCGCTCATTCTCCTGTTTTTGCTCTCATGGTTGAACCCGGTGCTAGCCGACAGGTCAGGCCCGGTGACAAGTGTGCATAGGGCTGGAGTTTGTGCACTTCGCGGTCAGGTACTGTTCTCAACTTCTACCCCCTGGGCTTCTCGAGAATATCTTCCGAGGTACAGTTAAGCTCAGTAATGCTAATGATGATGCGTAGTGTGGCAAGAAATCCCTCTTCGGGGCGCAATTGCCATGTCTTGACAACACGCCAGCTACTGAACCAAGCTCTGAGACGAGGAAACGGTTGGTGGAGATTTGTGGAGATGATTGGAAGGAGGGGCTGGTCTGCTGTGGGGATGATCAGGTGCGTTGGGAGGAATTCAGTCTGCTTGCTGCTGGGGCTTTGCTCACTCTGGGTGGTTGGGGATTTAGCTCGGGGACTTGTCGAAAAATCTGAAGAGAGCCGAATCACTCATCGCCTCTTGCCCTGCTTGCAAGGCAAACTTTTTCGACCTCTTCTGCACCTTCACTTGCTCACCCGATCAATCTTTGTTCCTCAATGTCACCGCTACCCAAACCGCGAGCACTGGGAAGGAAATAGTCACAGAGTTAGATTACTTGGTCTCCCCTTCCTACGGAAGCGGATTCTTTGATTCGTGTAAGGATGTCAAGTTTTCTGGCACCAATGGATATGCTATGGATCTTATTGGTGGGGGTGCGAAGGATTATCCTGCGTTTTTAAAGTTCCTGGGAGATGAGAAGCCGTTTGGATCACCGTTCCAGATCAATTTCCCCCCCGGGGGCAGACTGGATGCCTCAATGAAGGCCATGGATCATTCACCCAAGAGGTGCAATGACAGCGATGTGGCCTACAGATGTTCTTGTGTTGATTGTCCTGCTGTCTGTCCCACGCTTCAAGAAGTTGAAGTAGGGGAGGAATGCAAGGTTGGGGTAGTTCCTTGCCTTAGCTTCGCAGTTATACTCATCTACTCGATTTCGCTGTTTATCCTTGTCGGAGGATATACCGCCGCTGGAATCTACCAGCACCTGAAAAAGAGGAATTCCGAGCGTGCCAGACTATTGCAAGACAGTGCTCCGAGCGATGATGAGGACGAAGGTGATGTCGTAGGGGCTGGGATGATGGATAGGCCTTATAGAGAATATTTCTTGAATTCACGCTTGGATGACTTGTTTTCCTGGTTGGGGCATTCATGCGCATCTTTCCCCGCTGTTACGATCTCTTCTAGCGCCATAATTGTTGGCTTGTTGAGCCTAGGTTGGCTCAGGTTCAGCATCGAAACAGACCCTGTGAGGTTGTGGGTTAGCCCTACATCAGAGGCTGCTTTGGAGAAGAAATTCTTTGACGACAGTTTTGATCCATTTTACCGCGCACAGCAGGCGTTCTTGGTTAATGATACCACAGAAGCAGGAGCTTCTCCAGTTCTGAGTTATGAGGTATTGAGTTGGTGGTTTGATGTTGAGAATCGCATTAGAAGATTAAAGAGTTTGAATTATGGAGTCACTTTGGACGATGTTTGTTTGAAGCCTACGGATGCTGGATGCGTTGTTCAGAGCGTTGCTGGATATTTTGGGAACAGCTTCTGGAATGTCAAAGAGGGGACGTGGCAGAGGGAATTGAGATCTTGTGCAGCCCAACCTGTTCAGAGCCAATGCCTACCGGATTTCGGACAACCATTGAATAAGGACTTGATTCTTGGAGGATGGCAGGATACTGGCGATGTTTTGGATTCTAGGGCTATGATCGTTACTTGGGTTCTAAACAACCATGCAGAGGGATCCAAGGAGCTTGTGAAAACTATGGATTGGGAGCAGAGTTTGAAAAGCACACTACTTGCTGTGCAGGGCGAAGCTAGGGAGAGAGGATTGAGATTGAGCTTTTCAACGGAAGTTAGTCTCGAGGAGGAATTGAACAAGAGCACCAACACTGACGCCAAGATCGTTGTTATCAGCTATATTGCCATGTTCATCTACGCCAGCTTTGCACTGGGAAGCACAAGTTTAACAATCCTTCACGTTCTGAACCAGAGCAGTAAGCTCCTTGTGGAAACTAAATTCACTCTCGGAATTTTCGGGATCATCATTGTCCTTATGAGCGTCTCTGCGAGTGTAGGGTTGTTCTCGGCAATGGGTGTTAAAGTAACCCTTATTATCGCCGAGGTCATCCCCTTCCTTGTTCTTGCTGTTGGTGTGGACAACATCTTCTTGATCGTTCACGAGTTCGAAAGAGTCAACTATTCCCATCCGGATGAGAGAGTGGAGGTTCGCGTTGGGAAGACAATAGGCAGAATGGGCCCGAGCATTTTACTCTCTGCAACTTGCGAAACTATCGCCTTTGCACTGGGAGCTGTCGTCTCTATGCCTGCGGTGAGGAACTTTGCGATTTATGCCGCCGGCGCAGTATTCGTCAATGCTCTTTTGCAGGTTACCATGTTCGTGGCCGTATTATCGTTGAACCAGAAGAGGGTCGAGAGCAACAGGATGGATTGTTTCCCCTGCTTTAGGGCGCCTGGCGGCTATGAGAGTAATGGCTCTGCTGCTACTGTTGGAGGAGGCATAATGTCGAATCTAAGGGGAGAGGGAATTAGAAATGCACCTGGATTCTCTATGGAGGAGGAAGGAGTTTTGCAGAAATTTATAAGGAAGGGATATGCGCCCGCTCTATTGCAGAAACGGACTAAGCGGGTTGTCGTGAGCTTGTTTTTGGGGTTTTTCGCCGCCGGAATCGCACTTTTGCCAAAGGTCGAGCTTGGGCTGGGTATGATACAGCGTGTTTTATCACCGAGTCTGGGTACTAACGTTTTCGGTGTTTAGACCAGAGAATTGCCATTCCCAGTGATTCATACTTGATTGGCTACTTCAACGACCTTTACGATTACCTGGACGTTGGGCCACCAGTCTACTTTGTGACCAAGGATTATAACGTTACCGCCAGGGAAGAGCAACAATCACTTTGTGGGCGCTTCTCGACGTGTGATACATTTTCACTGTCAAATGTTTTAGAACAGGAGAGAAAACGTCCCGAGATTTCATATATTGCAGAACCTGTTGCTAGTTGGATCGACGACTTCTTTCTATGGTTGAATCCTTCCCTCGATCGTTGTTGCAGAGTCAAGAAGAGGAATCCTTCCGAGCTCTGCGATGAGCTCGATAGCGATCGCGTCTGCAAGGTCTGCTTCGAAGACCGAGACTCAGCCTGGAACATTACCCTCAACGGTATGCCAGAAGGCGGTGAGTTTCTGGGCTACCTAGACACCTGGCTGCAAGCTCCTACGGGGGAAGAATGCCCAGTAGCCGGCAAAGCCGCCTACTCACACGCAATCGTCCCCGACCACGACCGCAAGACCATAAAAGCTAGCCACTTTCGCACATCCCACACTCCGCTCCGCAGTCAGAAGGACTTTATAAACGCCTATGCCTCCGCCCGCCGCATTTCCGAGGTTCTCTCGCAAAAATCTGGCCTTGAAGTCTTCCCTTACTCCAAATTCTACATTTTCTTTGACCAGTACTCTTCCATCGTCGGCCTCACAGAAGCACTCTTACTCGCAGCTCTGGCATGCATATTCCTGGTCTCTTCTATATTACTTGGAAGCGCGCAGACCGGATTAATAGTTAGTGCTACGGTGCTAATGATCGTGGTAGACATTTTGGGCATAATGGCTCTATGGGGCGTAAGCCTTAATGCAGTCAGTCTAGTAAACCTGGTAATCTGCGTTGGTATCGGGGTTGAGTTTTGCTCGCATATCGCCCGAGCCTTCATGTTTCCCAGCCGCAGTGCAGTCGACCGCGCTCGCGGCTTCCGCGGGAAAGACGCCAGAGCACTCGGCGCTCTCACCAACGTCGGCGGTTCCGTAAGTCCCCTTCCTCCCTCTCCCCATATATTCCCCCGCGACTAATAATAAAAAAAGGTATTCTCCGGCATCACCGTAACAAAACTAATAGGCGTCTGCGTGCTCGCATTCACCCGTTCAAAGATTTTCGAAATATACTACTTTAGGATGTGGCTTGCTTTGGTCATTGTCGCCGCTACGCACGCGTTGGTATTCCTACCCGTTGCACTGAGTTACCTCGGCGGCGAGGGATACGTCCCGGACGATAATTACGGTGGGCTAGAAGAAGACTTGAGAAGTCGGACGTATAGGAATCTCGTGCCGGCAGATTATGGCGAGAGTTCTGAGGAGGACTAGTTGGTCTGCCCTGAAGGAGCGCACGTAGGATGGTATGAACATGATAGATATGCAAGCATGGACGGGTTGGGGACTTTGGGTGTTTTTTTCTTTCTTTCCTTCTCTTTTTCTTCCATAAACAAAGAGCATCTGGCACCCTTTTCTCCTTCCCTCTTCTTTCTTATTACTCATACTGGCTTGAGTACATATTTTGGTTTCTCACTTTTTTCCTCTTTTACCTTTTTAGCTAGGGTATTTGCTCTTTGGTTTTGTTGCGAGAGTCATACCTTGTCGTGTCATGTTCGTGAGGCTCGGTCTGGCACGGCGTGGCGTTGGTTTGTATGGTATGGTATGGTATAGTATAGAAATTGAGGGTTTCCTTTCTTTCTTACGCTCTTTACGGATGGATGGATGTGTATTGGTTGGTAGATTTCTTGGTTTAAGTACTTTTACTGCGGGTGGGGGGAAAAGTGGCTAATAGATATTGATATTGATATTGGTATTGGTAGCATGAGGTTTGTTTCCTTGTGTGAACTATAAAGCGAAAACTTGAACCGAAGTGGATGCTCATAGATTAGTGTAGTCGGTCGGTTGGATTAACTTGTGCGGTACGGTACCGCACTATGCTGTATCATACTCCTAATTCGATGACGTTTGTAAAAATGACTGGGTCCGCATATGTCCACACATGAGTGAAAATACGCGCAAAGGAAGCGATAGAGTCGCCGTTCAATCAAGTATATTCTTCTCTATGTCTATGCATCTGTGTGAAGTCTATCACTCGTTCGAGTCAGGAAGGCCATTCTTAAACACATGAAATCCTTTGCTAGGTTCTGGTTTAGAGAAACCTATAATTCTTATTATTGCTAGTCAATGCACCCTCACTGGTATCCTGGGATCTTACTGGAAACCCGATGGCCTAAGCATTCCTCTTACAGCTTGTCACTATAATTATAATAATTATATAATTGCTGCATTTCTTGGAATTTCAAGTAAATATACTGAAATCAAATAAACTGGGGGTTTATTCGGCATGCTACAACTATCATATTACTAAGGTATTTCGAAAAAAGAAGAAGAAAAAAGCACAATGGGACACTAGATCATAATGGAAGTTTTTTTTTTTCCCTTCTTTTCTTAATTGGGTATTTTTGGCAATATCATAGAGGTTTAGGGTGAATAACTGGGGATAAACATACAAAATATTTACTATCATCTCTTGTTACTTCTTTTATCATAATAATATTATTATGTTCTTTAAATTAAATTTTCTTCCGAACTCGAATATACATAATACTTATTACTATCCATATGAACTGCCCTATAAAAGTATGATACTATCAGCTGAAGCTTTACCCAGTCTCGATATAGAATCTCTGGATAAATTTATCTTTTTGAATATCCAACGGATGGGAATAATAAGATTTGCTTATAGATGACAAATATATATTTTCATGGTCCTATTATAATAGCTAACAGTTTATTTCAAGTTGAAGGTCATGGTATGATAGTATAACTAGGAGGACCTGAACTAAAGAAAAAAGTAATCTAATATGCATGCCAAATGTTTCTCTATTTATTTTATTTACTTTTATTTTGGAAAGGTTTCATAACAGTGTGAAAGATAATCATTTTTTCTCGTATGCTAAGCAATATCTTTTTTTTTCTTTTTTTCTTTTTTTTTGACAAAAAAAAGTCCAGTTAAGTCCAGAATTAAGTATTATAATAATAGTTGCATCTGGAACTGTTTCTCTCTATAAAAAAGGTGGTCACAACTCTAGTCATTTAAAAGCAGACATTCCGCTGATATCTTATCGTTCCGCTACTAGACTAATTCTTCTCTACCATACTTGACTTCCAACATGCTCAAAACTTATCATAAAGACTTACTACTTGTAACTACTTATCCTAATTATATTATGCGGTTTTATTGTGCTTCTGGTCTCCTGCTATCATAGTATAAAACTTGTTATATCTCAGTTCCTAAATGTTTGTAATATTTTGTTCCTCTTTTGCCGTTGTGGTTTTATCAGGTTAGTTAGAATTCTAATAATATTATCATGATAATATTATGAAACTCCTCTTCTGGCTTGGAGCTTTCTAGCCATTCGCACCACAAACCATCCGGCGTCCTATAGTATGGCTATTAATTCGAACTGGCTCATTAACTGATATCATACCAACAAACCCCACCCTATTCGCCTCACTTACCCTCAACCACCTGTGCTGTGGCATATGCAGCGAGTCGAGATTCTTCAGCTCCAATTTCCTCCGCACATAACTCTCCCTCTCTCCCACAGTGGACAACTCAAGTTAAGATACATTATCAAACAAAAACTCAATCCAAGCCTCCAACAACAAAACAAACATTACAAGACATCACCAACTACCTATGCGATACAGGAGTTGTCATACCGCGCAGCCACTTCGGCAAGGTCCCCACGCCCCCTCCAAGCACCACCAGCCCTTCTCCTTCTGTCATTCAGCATGATAGTAAATTTAAACAAACTGCGATAAATGCTTTCAATAGGCGTATCCAAAAACGGTCGCCCAAAGCGCCCTTGTCCTATCGTCGATAGGTACGAGTAAATTTACTCGTATGATAATTCATGTCCTGGGAACGCAGTGCCAGTAAGGGTATGATGTAAGAACTTTACAGAACGCGGCCCCACTCGTAATATACCGCATCCGGCATCCGGCATCTCGGCATCTCGCGCTAGAAAAGAGGGAAGAGTGCCACTTTCTTCTCCCTCCCCCCATCACCCCCCGCAACCAGCTTCGCGGGGGTAATTTAAGCACAAGCTACCCGATCGATACGAGTAGATTGGGACTACGGTACTTGAATGGTTTATCGCGAGTGCATCGCGGAGCGGACGAGAGGAGGTGCGGAGAGGGGGGTTGGGTGCCAATATCGTATTGCGAGAAGGGGAAGGGCCTCAGCCGGAGTAGTCTAAAACAGATGGACCTTCATCGAGGATCAGTAATCTTGTTGACTTCTGGCCTATCGTAGCTTAATCTATTCCCGAACCGCAATGTCCCGAAATGTATTCATGTTTCCTTCCTCCCTCCCTACCGACAACAACGTACCGGTGTTGAGCCGGTAGACTAAGTAGTGGGTCAAACCCGCAGAAGTGAATCGCTTTATGTGTGAATCTTTGCTCAAATTCTCACTGCGGAAATTTTGAGTAAAATCAAACCTCTGACTGAATTCGGCTCGTGCAGGGGCAAGTATAAAATGACATGATACCGGGAGTATGATACTTGTACAGTACCTCTTGCGCTGGTGCACTCACTGGGTCTCGATTAACGTTTTCACATTTCCACTCCTCTGGTGCATTCCGATCGATTCACTTCCCGTCCGACCCACTTTCCCTGTCCAATAATACAAGTATCATGTATTGTCGAACAGAGAGATATATATCTTTCTATGTTTTTTTTTGTTTTTTTACCATGAGTTTTCCATTAACACCCGGCTTGGCTCTTCTCCCGACCCGAGAGAACCCACACAGTTCTCTATATGGATTACTTATGATACTTTCCCCCTTTATCCCGTGAACCTCACTCGCACCGTCCCGGTGAAGGCAGGTATTCGGCGGGACTAGGATATAGTGGGCAAGCGTAGGGTAAGTCAAGTTACACAGTTCATTGAGCTATCTAGAGAGCAGGATTACTATCGTACGAAGGTGCTTGTGCAAGTGAGAGTCGAACGAATGAATGAAGCACCCAACTTACCCTCCCAATCATGTAATCTATGATACCAGTAATCACGAATTCCTGCTCTCCGGCCCGGCTTGGCAAGTTTCTTGCGGGGTGCAGTGCCTATGGGCTAATATAATAATAATTCATTGAATGGCTGAGAGTCGTGTTCGAGGCCACGGTCGGGAATCATGGGAACGAGTGATTCATTATGAGGACTTTACTGGCGCCGCTATGCTCGAGCACAATACTCGTAATGAGTACGGTAGAGTACAAGACGGGATTATCTCGCTGGTTAGACTAACTGGATGAGTGCTAGCACAAGGACCTGCTCTAGTATCAAAAGCTAATACTTGAGAATGCTATCGTTCGAGCAGTTCAAAAAGGTGCACTAGTAATATAATCTTTCAAATTCTACAATATAATAAATAGCCTCTGCGGACGGCCAACTAATCAAAAAAAATTAAAATCAAAAAACATTTCTCTTCCCAAGGCAGTACCGCACCGGCAAAAAGGAGAAAGGAGAAACAGAATCTAGGGTTTTCTTTCTTTTTTGGATTAGTTGGGCTGTTGCAGAGCCTGTATAGAATTCGAAAATTATATGATATTACTGGTGCATCTTTGAACCGCTCGAACCATGCACTGCTCCAGTACAGTTCAGCACTTTTGTGCAATAATTTATGATACTCCACGGAATGATTTCGTGGCACCCAAAACCTTCCCCCGGGTATTGCCATTTTTAGGGCTCTGTTTGGATGCAACGGTTCCGTTCCCCTCAAAGTGACCATTTCCTTACGTTTGGCAAATCATTTTTACAGCGGAAACGGTCGCAAAACGGAACGGAACTGTTGCATCCAAACAGAGCCTTAATGATTATACGCCTGAACCACATTAAAATATTGATTCAAAAGAAACAGCCCCCTCCCCTCTAGATTGTTGGGAATGCTAAGGAGATAAATGTAGAAGCTTTTATATATATATATATTGAGGGAAATGGAGGCCCTAATGGTGAGATATAATCGATTGAAAAAGTTGCAGCCTAGTGTAGGTTTTGGACGGCACGAATTATATATACAGTACATCGGAAGAAACAGTTTCTTTCTTCACGCTAGACTATGTTACCTCCTTTTAAGTCCTTAATAGCCTCCAGCGGTAGATCAATTCCCAATAAAAGTATTTGTGCGGGGAGAATTCATCCATTCATATTTACTTTTCTTCTTCGGAATCCCCGAGGTGGGTTGCGATGATGGGCTATGTTCAAAAATTACCAGTATAAACGGTACAGTGGCCGACCACATTGTGCCCACGGATGTCGAGTAAAAGATTGGGAGGGAGAAAGAAAGAAAGAAAACATGCGGTACAGGTGCTTCGGCGTGGGATATGAAATGGATGAATGGTGGTAAGGTAATGAAACTTACCGGGAGAGGGAGAATAAGACATAGGGCCCAAAGAGAATCCGTTTTTGTTAATGAAAGAGAGAAATGGAGCGCGAGCAAGTCAACGCACGAGTGGTGAGGAAAATAGAAGCCTGTGTAGTACAGGAATAGTGCGCGGAATACGGCAAGGAAAAAGATATGAAGAAGGTAATGATACATTATGAAGGTTTATATAAGGAACGCAACCTGTGAGCCAGGTGAGTAAAGGTAAGAGAGGGGAGAAGAAAACTATAAGAGAAAAGGGAAACGAAATTCCATGAGCTGCTTATCTGCTGGTTAGCCAGTTAACTAGGATCGACCGCTGCTCAACAGCCTTGATCCATTCCTATTACGCTACCATGTTCCTCTGTGCTTGGGCAATCCCCGACTCACCTATCTGGCAATCGGCCCAGAAGACAAGAAACAGGCAGTAAATCAGAGAACAGCAACCAAAAAAAAAGGGCAAAAAAGCATCTTCATTTGTGAATCCCACGCACTGGTTGTGGGGAGAAAAGAACATGTAAAACCAAAGAAGTAGAGGGCGGGGGGAGTGAAAAAAAAAAAACTACCATATCACATCATATAAAAAAAACAAAAACAAAAACCCCGCCCAGCATGCGCAAAACTAATCAATACGATCACCCCAAAATATCCTTATGCGCAACCCCAACCTTCGTCAATACCTCCTGCACATCCGTCTCAGCAACCACCACGCCCGTCTCCGAGCACTTCGCCTTACTCCTAAGCTCGGAGCAGAGTCCGTCCATGTCCAACTCCCCACTCGCAAACCTTGGGTGATTACTTATGCGATCCCTATTTCCGTCACTTGCTTTAGTCTTAGCTCCACAGCACAGCGTTGTTGGTATTCCAGTGATGGGGAAGGGAGAGGAGCTGTACCATATTTTATTGCAAGAGAGCATTTGCTTGGGGTCGTCTGCCGGCACGACTTCCTCTTCGTCCTCATCTAGGTCTGCGTCGTTGATCTGGTCGATTTCTGCCAGGAGATCCAACTTCTTAGGTGTTTGCGCGAGGTTTAAGGGTGAGCCGAGATCCGTGTTGAATGTGTGGGGTATTGCAAAGGCGTCATCAAAGAAGGACATGTTGATTCCACTGTTTATGTCGTTTACAGGATCGCGGTAGTCGCTGAAGAGGACTGGGTCGAAGTTACCACCGTTTTGCTGCGTCAGCCAGCCGAGTGATGTGTTTGAGGAGGTATTGTTGTTGGTGTTCGTGGTTGTGGTGGCTGATGAGGAGGAGGAGGAGCTATTCAGTTGGGCCGCTTTTGGAATTGGGTTATGTGGGTTTCCACAGGCCATACTCAATTTCTCACAGAATGTTGTTTCTGTCTCGCCGTCTAACGACCCACTCTTACAAATGTATTTGTCGCCGTTATGTGATGTGGTGATTGTCCCTTCAACCGTACCGTTCGTTGGCTCAGGGCTCGTTCCAGTCGATGAGCCGGGACCATGCTGCGATACTGATGATGCGGATGGAGAAGAAGCATAGTTCTGGCCACCGTTCAGGCGAGGGGTATTTTGCAAACTTGACGATAAATCATTATTCTGGTTCTGGTTAAAGACTGATTGAGATATCTGATTAGCCCTACCCCCAAAAACAGCGGTACTAATCTATATTAGACCAGCGATAATTCACAGTTCTCACCATTATTTGTATTGGTAATTGACTTCTTAAGCTCTTCGGACGCAGCCAACGTCCCTCCAGCGGCATTCAATCGGTCGAGCAGTGCGCCCGACTTCAACCCCGAATTGTTTTCGCTATTTCGAATGAAGAGGCCATTACCAAACATTGGGAATTCAAACTGGAAACCACCAGTGCCAACACTATTTTTACTAAGAAACTTCGATGCACCACCAAGCAGTGGTGATCCACTTTGTCCCACGGTATGTAATCGTCGCCGGTATTCCTTAAGCTCGATCTGCAACCTTTCTACCTGCCCACGCAAGCGGCTGTTTTCATGGTTGGCCGATTCTGACGCCTTCTCTAAATCTGCTACCTTTTGCTCAAGGTCCTTGAGGTGTTTTTCCTTGCGCTCCCTGAAGGCCCGCTGAGCTGCTCTATTTTGCGCTTTGCGCTTCGAAGTCGGCTCTGACGTCAGCGGCTTACGACCTGGCTTCTTTGCTGTCTTGTCATCTGTTCCTAGGAATTAATCCAACAGTTAGTCTCAGACATCATCATATCAACCGGATAATGGCCAAAAGGCCTAAACTCATTTCCAACTAGGCTAGAGATACGCTCAGGGCAAATAGGAAGGGGATTAAATTGAGGCTCGCACAATTGGACATCACAGTGAAAGAGAAAAATAATTAAATGAAATTCCAGATTATGGTGCAATATCTTTGGAACAGAAGGGATAGATGGATTGATGGATTCATATGGTTTATATCCATGAAATGCAAGTCTGTACAGTGCAATGATAGAGGAGTGGAAAACGGAAAAAACCCACCTCTCCTTTTTGGTTCAGCGTCATGTGGGTCAGCACTTGGGCTCCCATCTTCAGCCTCAGGTGGATTTTTTCTTTTTTCACCATCCCTTTCACCACCACTATTTGACGCCGAGGCTGGAGTCCCAGCATGACTATCCATATTGTTATCCGCATCGCCAGCTGGAAGCCCTAGGTCATAGTCCCAATTATCAACATCCAAATCCTCACCCCAATCTTGATAATCTAATTCCCCCATCAACGGTGTGCCATCTGAGAAACTGCCGGTTAAGGCCGCAGTTGGAGGCGGAGTCCCATTCCCATATAGCGAACCCACCGAGTCCGGGGTGTCGTGTGATTGTGGTGGCAGTGAGCGACGATTCGAGGATATAGATTGGGAGAGATGATGGGACAGAGAAGGTGTGTTGAACATTGGGGAAGAAGAAGAATTAGACGTAAGTGCGGCGAGCAGGAGGTCCTGCTGATCCGGGGAGAGGTAAAGACTGTCTGGTGCTGCCGTAGTCATACCCTAATTGCGACTCGATCGAACCGTTAAACAACTATTCTTGTCGCTCTGCACAAATTTGGCCGGTATGATCCTCAAGAATTCCTCGATCAACTGAACTGGGCTCCAGATGTTAAGCCAATGCAGAAAAAGAAAAGCAACAAAAATTCAAGCGATAAAGTTGGCCCCCGCTGTGACCAGCCAAGCCGAGCGCAGTAACCGCCGAGATATGGAATGGTTCGATTGCTAAAGGAAGGCTCTGGAGCTCTTGCTGCCGATTATCGAGCAAAAATCACCGACAATCCCCAGTCCCCCTTTAAAAAAGGTGCTTCAACCAACAATTCCGGTGAGGGTGTTTTCGGTTGAAGTATAAAAGAGGCTTTGGTAGAATGTCTGACTCAGGAGAAGTTTTTTTTATTTGGGTCTGTGAATATGGGGGATGACGACACCTCTGAGATAGTAATCACAGAAAGCTGCGAGAATAAAAAGGATAGAGGCTATGTGTGATAAAAAGGACTGCCACT